TAACAGACATTCCTCCTACAATGAAAGAAACCATCTTTTCCCCTGTATTCTAAGTTCTAGAGTACAAATGCCATAAAGCAATTATTAACAAAATTATAAACATAAATTGAACAATTATTAACTTACAATTATAAATGTAAACTGAATAATATTGCAGAGTTCAAAATTCTATTCTCAGATAATAATAGGACAACTAACTACACAGTCCAAATTTTATCAAACAACTGAAAACTTTCTAAAGTGGTGATAGCTTGACAACACATATGAACTTTGTAATCAAACAGACTTCAAATCTAACCCTAATCTAAACAATGGGGGTGATACCAGGCTGTGACTATGTTTTCTCATTTGACAGTAAAGAGAATAATATCTACCTCATAAAGTTGTTGTAAGAATTAAATTAATTAAATTAAGATTAAATTAAATTGATTAAATGATAGTCACTGGGCACTAGTGAGTGACAGTTAATTCCTACTAAATAAAGCCAGATGGCAATAATGCTATTTTCTTTTTCTTTTTTTTTTTTTTGCTGGTCATGGGGCCTGAACTCTGGGCTTGGGAGCTGTCCCTCAGCTTTTCAGCTCAAGACTAGCGCTCTACCACTGGAACCACAGTGCCACTTCCGGCTTTTTCTGCTTATATGAACCCAGGGCCTCATGCATGCAAGGCAAGCACTCTACCACTAAGCCACCTTCCCAGCCACCTTCTTTTTCTTTTTGAGACAGGTATTTCTACATAGCTTAGGCTTGCTTGGAACTTGTGACTCTCAAGCCAACCTCCTGCCCTAGACTCTGGAGTGCCGGCATTATAGGTGTGCACCAACATGCTCAACTCAGCAATGATTTTCTCTGAGATAATCACCTAAAGAGCAAATATATATATATATATATATATATATATATATATATATATATATATATATAAAACAAGAACAAACTATTATAAAAAATGAATCTGTTAAAGGAAAGTTTGTCCTTTGCCTTCTCCATGACAACAGGAGCAAAGGTCCTGCTGGCATTCAAGTGAGACCTTGCCAGACTGGGCACTTCTAAGTCTGTTTTCTGGAAAACAAAGAAGTGCCACTGAAGAGTCAGTAGCTCTATTACTAGTGCTCTGGCTAGCCCAAGCACTAAATTAAACGACTTACAGATGGAAGAAAAGACATGAAAGCCTCATCCAATGTGACAATTAAATGGTCCTCTCCTTCTCTTCTCAATATAATTTTAGAACATGTATTTCCTGAGAATTAATGCTTATTCTTGGGATATAGGTCTGTGTATGTTGTATATGTATGATAAACTCAAAAGATCACTCTTCTAATGGGTACAAACCCATATAGAAGACCCATGTTCACTATACTTGAACTGGGACCCTAAAATTATCCCACAAATTATTCTGGGAAATAGAGGGATGTAATTAATATTAGATTCTGCTGCCCTGGTCCTGAAATTCTGGTCCTGTTTTGGCTGAAGATTTGGGGAAATTACAGAACTGCAAACCAGGTGTCTCAGTCTAAGAAGGGAACATCAGATCCAAGGAGTGAGACTTCTGAAGTCTCAGTTTCTCAAGGGTGCTTGTATCTTGCTAGAGAAAACATCTGACAAGGCCACAGGGGAATCAGACAGAAACATGGGATTTCAAAAGGCTGAGTTCTGAATAATCATAGTTTGAAGCCAGTCTGGGCAGAAAAAGCCAAGAGACTCCATCTCCAATTAGCCAGCAAAAAGACAGACTCAAGGCTTGTCTCAAGTGGTAGAGTGCCAGCCATGAGCAAGAGGGCCTACCAAAGCCTGAAGCCCTTGTGTCAGATAGATAGATAGATAGAGAGAGAGAGAGAGAGAGAGACAGACAGACAGACAGACAGACAGACAGACAGACAGACAGATAGATAGATGACAGACAGATAGGCAGATAGATACAGCAACAAGAAAGTCATCAATTTGAGTTAAAGCAATAAAGCAGTAGTGAGCAACAAGGAACAAGTGCTTCTGAAAAAAGAAAAGAGTTTACAGTGAAATATTGAGGCATTGATAGAAGAACACTGTTCTGCATGCTTACATTTGTAACTAGCAACAGTAAATTTGCAACAGCAATTACTTATTTGAATTCTATCTTACAGCCGACAATGAACAAGAGCTCAGGGAACAAAAAGGTACAAAATAATGGAGTTGTTCTCAGGGTAGAACATTTTGCCACCTTCTCAACCTTGTAAATGAGCTACTTTGGCAAGGGCAATTGCATTCCTCTTTATATTATAGCATGGAATCCCATGTAAGAAACTCAGTAATAGGTGGTTACACTAAGAAAAACCAGCCTAGTAATAATGAGAAAAAAAATGATAAGACACATGCCAGAATACTTAGACTTTGTTAGCCAGGGCAGTAGAAAGATGGGGAGGTTTTAGAATTATAAGAAAAAACAAAGATGCTTGTGTCAAAACAAAGAAATCAAAATTGCTGTTTTGAAGCTGTGAGAGAAAATAATGCAATTGCTTTGTGAACATAAACACTGTTACAATAGAGATGTTTATCAGCAACCAGAAACTCCATATAAAGTTCATATTTATTATTTTTAAAGTAAAAAAATAAAATGGAACAGGGAGAAGACAAAGGCTAGAAAAGTTAGATGATATGGGAGATTGTGTGTGTGTGCGCGCACGCGCGTGCACACACGCATTGGTGGTGGTGCTGAGGAGCAAATTTAGGGCCTTGCACTTGCTAGACAAACTAAATCCCCACCCCAACAAGGACTTGTTTGGTTGATTTTGTTTTATTTGTTTATGAGACAACAATTCTCAAAGAAAAAACAGTCTCAATATAATAATAAAGATGGAACTAAATGAACTAAGAACTTAAACCTAGGTAGTAAGAAATTGGAAGCAAAGAAAGTTGGGACAGTCTTCAGACCTATAATCTTAGCCACTTAGGAAACAGAGATTAGAAATATAGCCTCCCTAGGCCAGCCTAGATTTTATATATGGAGATATATATCTAATTAATACATGATTATTATTTAATATATAATATATTACTATATAAATTAATATACATATATGTATACACTAAGAAACCTATGTACACCCCTTCTCAAACAAAAGGCCAAGCATACTAGCATACACCTTTGATCCCATCTGTGAGACACATCATAAGTGGAGGGTCACAGTCTAAAGCCAATTCTAAGGACAAGTAATGTAAGAATTTATCTGAAACACAATTAAAGCCAAAAAAAAAAAAAAGGATTTGGGATATAATAAAGTATGTATGTAGCTAGCACAGGCCCTGAGTTCAAACTCCAGTGCTAAGGAGACAGAGGAGGAGAAGAAAGGAAGAGGAAGGAAGAAATAGAAGGAGGGAGAAAGGGAAAGAAGGAAGAAAAGGAAGGAGGAAGGAAGGAGGGAAGGAGAGAGGGAAGGAAGGAAGAAAGGGAATGAGGAAGGAAGGGAAGGAGGAGGGAAGGGGAGAGAGGGATGAAGGAAGGAAGGAGTAATTTAGAAGCTAAGTCTGGAGGAGATAATGAAATTCTATGAGACCATGAAAAGCAATGACACACACTAAAAAAATTAAAAATATTGACAGTGAAAATGGTGAAAATAGTAAAATTGTTAAAAATGTAATACAGAACATTTACACACCTGGGGCTGGGAATGTGGCTCAGTGTTAGAGCACTTGCCTTGCATGCCTGAGGCCCTGGGTTCGATTCCTCAGCACCTCATAAGCAAAAAGAAAAAAGCCGGAAGTGGCACTGTGGCTCAGGTGGTAGAGCGCTAGCCTTGAGCTGAAGAGCTGAGGGACAGTGCCCAGGCCCAGAGTTCAGGCCCCACGACCAGACCCCCCCTCAAAAAAAAAATAAAAATAAATAAAAAGAACATTTACACACCTAAGATCAAGCTTTAAAATATGTACAGCAAAAAGTTAAGAGACGCACTATAAGAAATCAATAAATGCTAAAAGCACTTTTAAACAGTTTATCTATACATCCCTAGAGCTTTTCCTCATTATTACAGAGATGTAAATTCAAATCCATTTGCATAGCCTTACGCACCACCAGAGTATGAAACATTTCTTAAGTCTGGCAGCGTGAACACAGGGAGGATGGGATAATGAGAGTCTCCTCCACCGTTGCTCATAGGGACATCCACTTTGTAAATCTCTTTGGCCTTGACTTTCAAAGTTGGAGCACAACATGCATGCTACTCATAAACTGATGTGTTGTATGGCTCCTTCCTAAAATTAAAATAATAATTGTTGGGAAAGAGTGAGAGCCAGCAACTCCATTCCTAATCCTAGTTATCAAGCAATAGGAACAGCCATACAAGTGCGACTCCAGGGGGCCTCAGCCCATAGCACCAGAGGTTATAGCCAGGGGGGCACTAGGCTTTGGTCCCCAAGGTTCCAGAAAACCCTGGGTTCTAGAGGATAATCAGAGACCACCAAGGAATAATGAGAGGAGCTTTTCAGCAATGACTCCACAGCACTCCCCAGGAAAAAAAAAAAAACAGCTGAAAGGAAAATGGATGAATAAAATAGTCAATTCATACAGTAGAATATTCAAGTATCATGAAAATGAAATGCAACAAAGGCAGCATCTCACTAACAGGTCAGAGGGAAGCACAGGAAATAATACATACATTCATTTTTAATAGATTAAACTATTGTATAGGGAAACAGAAATATACAGTAAGACTATACCATCTTCAGGTAAATGGCTCTCAAGGACAGAGAAAAGAAGTTCTAGAGCAGTGGGGATGCCCGTAATAATTATTTGTATAACTCAGCCCAATATGTTTAATGCACTTTTCTTTATTATCTTAACTTTTGTGATGAAAAAATATTCTTGGAGCTCTCCAGAGCAATAAGTTTACAGCTGCAATATAATAACACAAATCACGTGGGGAATGCTGAGCTAAGCTGTGAAGCAATAGAAAGGCAAGTGATTGGAGGAGGAAACAGCAGGACTAGTATTTATTCAGACTTTTCAGTGCAGGACACAGAGTATTCTCACGCCAGAAAGAAATTTCCAAGGCAAGCTTCCCTAAGGGAAAGAGAAATGAGCACCAAGGGAAAGGTAAGTACATAACCTGTATCTGTTCAGTTCGTGCATTTGAGGGATTACCCTCAGATCAGAGCAATTTACAGCTGATTAAAAGGAAATGAGTAGTCCCTATGCTAAGAATTTATTCTAAGGAATTAAGTATAGATTTGTCAAAGTGTTTACTAGAAGAATATTTTAAATTAAATATTATTTAAACAGCAAAATGTTATTTAAGCAACTATGCTATCACCATAAAATAGAATATGTACCTATAGTGTATAAATATAGATTAAAAATAAAATGAATAAAATGAATTAAAATGAAGAATAAAATGAAAAGATAAAATGAATTTAAAGTATCCATTTATACTTTTATTTTCCATCTATATTTTATTTTTATTTTGAAACTTTCTGTAATTAATATGTATTTCATTTGTAATGAAAGTAATGATATTTAAAAATAGTGCAGAATTACATCTGAATGGTTGAAAAATAGATACTCAGTGGGTAAAAGATGAGATACTTGAAATTCAAAATAAAAATTGAGAGTAGAAAAGTTTTAATCTAGGAATCAGCAAATCCTCAGTATTTAATTTCTTTCATTGCCCTTTTTATAATTCTTACAATGAGATCATATTTTTTCTGTACTTATTCATTTATACTGTACTGATTAATTTGGTAATTATTTGAGCTTCACTTCTCAGACTTTTGATGAACTACCTAGAGTTTTTGTTCAAAATGAGACTTCATTTGATTTTAGGCAAGACTTTGTTCTCTAAGAATTCTCAGGTTATGAGAACAGCTGATCTGAAGACTAAACTCAAGTAGCAAACCTGTAAAACACATCTGTGCTCTGGCAAATATAACTGATCATTCACATTGGAATGAGATTGGTTAAGCCAACACATCATTTTTAGTCACTTACCAAAATCTTTAAGTCCTATAAATGCATACTCTTTCTTAATGGAGGGAGGAAAAATCAAGTCATTATATCAGAATAAACTTTTAACATAACCATTTGTTAAAAATAATAATTTAATGTAATGACCATAACATCAAATTTGACTTAGATGCAACTGAAGATCGCATGTCTTCAAAACAATATAATTATATACAACAATCTGTCACAAACTTCTAAACTGTTTATCAACAAATTACAATAGGCGCTTTCCCCTCATGATACTGTATTCCTTTGCCTCTCTCTTTCTCTCTCCATCTCTCCTTTCCCTTCACTTCCATTTCTTCTCTCTCTCACTCCTTCATTCCCCTCTCTTTCAGGTTATTAAATGCAAAGCAGCTGTTGCCTGGGAAGCAGGCAAGCCCTTCTCTATTGAAGAAGTTGAAGTAGCTCCCCCTAAGGCTCATGAAATTCGAATTCAGGTGAGTAAGGACTTTCCCTGGTGGATATACCCATACCCAAAGTGCAGGCTTGATTTCTAACAGTTTATTCTGACCTGGTATGAATGAGAGGCCTTGGAATCTCCACCTGTAGTTATAGTATATAACTTGAGTTATATTTGTAAGTCCAGATTAAAGTAGACATTATCTCATTTTTACAATGGGCTTAAAATCTGAGAATCAGCAAAGGAATTCACTTTGGCTTAGAACTGGGCTTTTGTTGTTCTCCATTTACCAACTATTAAAAAGTGTTATTACTGGTATGAATGAGAGGCCTTGGAATCTCCACCTGTAGTTATAGTATATAACTTGAGTTATATTTGTAAGTCCAGATTAAAGTAGACATTATCTCATTTTTACAATGGGCTTAAAATCTGAGAATTAGCAAAGGAATTCACTTTGGCTTAGAACTGGGCTTTTGTTGTTCTCCATTTACCAACTATTTAAGTGTTATTAAAGGAAAGTAGAAGCCGGACACCTGTGCCTCACATCTATAACCCTATCTACTCAAAGGCTAAGATCTGAGAGTGGTGGTTTGAAGCCAGCCCAGGCAGAAATAGCCTCAAGACTCTATCTTCAATTAACCACCAGTTGGACTGGAAGCTTGGCTCAAGTGGTAGATTACCAGCCATGCATAAAAAAATGTGAGGAACAGAATAGGCTCTCAGTTCAAGCCCCAGTACCCACACACAGAGAGAGAGAGAGAGAGAGAGAGAGAGAGAGAGAGAGAGAGGAAAAGAAAAGGCAGAGCTGTGGACACAGGTAAGTTCTTCATTTTTGCCCAAGACATTATAGGTTTGTATGTCAGAATGAATGGAACAACCTTTTTGTCAGATACTAAAGAACAATTACACAAAGATACTCTGGATGATTTATTAGCAATATTTCCATTTAACTATAAAATGTTATTTCCTCAACATTATTTCATGTAGTTTCAACAGAATTTGAACAAGCTGTGGAACCTATTTTCTCTCTCTGCCTAATAGATTTTATTCTGCTCTGACTACTTGCATTTTTCCTCTGCTGGAGACAATAACAGCCAATCCTACATCTTAGGTTTTTCAACAATGATAGTTAGAAAACTTGCCCAGACTATTTTTATTTGTTCTTTGGGGTTTTTTTTTCTAAATGTAATTCTTAAGTTCCAGGGGTGCTGTAAGGTTTCAAGATGACATTAGGCCTAAAATTATTGTTAACGTCTACCTCAACAGTAACTATAGAAATATGACTCAAGTCTGTACTTTGTTTTTTGGGGGTTTTTTTTGGGTCTGGTCGTGGGGCCTGAACTCTGGGCCTGGGCGCTGTCCCTCAGCTCTTCAGCTCAAGGCTAGTGCTCTACCACTTGAGCCACAGCGCCATTTCCGGCTTTTTTCTTTTTGCTTATGTGGTGCTGAGGAATCGAACTCAGGGCCTCAGGCATGCAAGGCAAGCGCTCTACCACTGAGCCACCTTCCCAGCCTCCAAGTCTGTAATTACTTTGTAGGTAATCGCCACTTCCATCTGCCACACTGATGCCTTTAATATCGATCCTAATTTCAAGAAAGGTGTGTTCCCAGTGATTGTTGGACATGAGTGTGCAGGAATTGTGGAAAGCTTTGGGCCAGGAGTGACCAACTTCAAACCAGGTAATTTGACCTTCTGATTCAAACTCAATAGAAATACCAGGCTTTTTCAGTGATGATTTCTGGTGGTGTCTTGGCTTTACATGCTATAACTGATCTGTGATAACATAAGAGGACCAATCATCTTTTCCTAAATCAAAAGTGAGACATAGAACCTATAGTTAGCATGGAGATGGGATATTTGAAATTGAAAGTGTCTTTATTTATATATTATGCTAAGAAAAATTTTCTGTAACACAAAATTTTATGATTAGTTAAAACTGAAGCAACCATGGTTCAGAAACTATATACTTCTGAAACAGAAAACTATTTCAACAACATTAACATTATATAAAGAATAAGAAGGAGGCTCAGGGTGAAAAGAGCCACTATGATATACATAGCAATGCTGGTGTCATGTTCTTTTGAGAAGAGCCACTATGATATACATAGCAATGCTGGTGTCATGTTCTTTTGAGAAGAGCCACTATGATATACATAGCAATGCTGGTGTCATGTTCTTTTGAGAAGAGCCACTATGATATACATAGCAATGTTGGTGTCATGTTCTTTTGAAAAGAGCCACTATGATACATAGCAATGTTGGTGTCATGTTCTTTTGAAGCCTGTAAGATACATATAATACCTAATAAAGCATGTCAATGGCTGAGATTATTTTCTTCACCTCACATTGCCATGTGACCTATGTACTACTCTCTTGTCACACAGGATAAACCCATGACTCTTCTTTGATGAGATTGCTCCAGACTTAGATACATGGCAAGGGTATCAAATTTCCTATCTCTATCTGGCCTATGTACCCTCTATATTAAGAAAGGATCTGCTTTTCTATTCATAGTGGTTGAAATATAAGTAATAATAGTCATGCCACAAAGAATTACAGTGAAAACACAGGAGTCTGCAGGAGATAAGACCAACCAATCTGTCACTTGACTGCCCAGTGGGGTATTTAAAAGAAAAACCAATATGCCATCTGTAATCCCACCTACATAGAAAGCCATAAGAGAATCACAGTCTACGGCTGACCCTTGGGCAAAAATGTGAGACTCTATCTGAAAAAAAAATAACTAAGGCAAAATAAAGGCTGGGGGCATGGCTCAAGTGCTAGAACACCTGCTTAGCAAGCACAAGGCCTTTGGTTCAAATGCTAATATTACCAAAATAAACAAAAAGACAACCTATGCAATACGTAGAAGAATCCATACTCTTACCTTTTAATGAAATAAAGCATTTTAACTACAGTACTTTCTAGTGAATATGTAAAAGTGACAGGAGTGACTCTGATCATAACTTGAATATCCTTTGTATAACTACTGAAACTAGTTTAAAAAGGAAAGAAAAGGGCTTGCCTAGCATGCATGAAGTCCTGGGTTCAATTCCTCAGCACCACATAAACAGAAAAATTGGTGCTGTGGCTCAAGTGGTAGTGTGCTAGCCTTGAGCAAAAAGAAGCTCAGGGACAGTGCTCTGGCCCTGAGTTTAAGCCCTAGGACTAGCAAAAGAAAGAAAGAGAAAGAGAAAGAGAGAGAGAGAGAAAGAGAGAGAGAGAGAGAGAGAGAAAGAGAGGAAGAAAGAAAAAAGAAGGAAAGAAAATTGAAAAAAATTAAATGGTGTTCTCTTCTACACAGGTTTTTTGTTTGTTTGTTTGTTTTTGGAGGGGGATGGAGTTAGGGAACTCAAGGCCATGCACATGATAGATAAACACTCTACCACCGGGCCCCATCTGTAGCCTTGCTGCTAGAAACTTACAATACCTAAGGATGTGGATCAGTGGTAGAGTACCAGACTAGCAAATGAAAGGCCTTGAGTTCAAAGCCCAGCACTGCCAAAGAGTTAGTAAATACTACCTTCAGGATCACCCAACATATGGTCTTTCTTTCTAGGTGATAAGGTAATTCCATTCTTTGCACCTCAGTGTAAAAAATGCAAGTTTTGTCTGAGTCCACGTACAAACATTTGTGGAAAACTGTGGTAAGTTCTATATGCTGTTAATAGCAATGTAGATTACATAAATATTTTAACAATGGATTAGCCATACCGAAATGGAGTTCAGAACAGGCAAACGTTCTGTCCACTAATTCTACTTATAGTGTATCCCAGACACTGCTCCAAATATGCAGTCATATACTGTAATATTCATTGCAAAACTGTTTACAATAGCAAACAAAAGGAATGTCTTATAATAAAATGGATTAACAAACTGCTGTATTGTGGCACAATGGAAAACTATAATGAAAAGGTTTAAATTTGAAATATTCATATAAACATAAAACAATCTGATGTATATATAATATTTTTCGCACACATACTAATATTAGGGAAAAAGGAAGTAGCTGAAGAATATATAGTATATGATGTTATATAAAAATGCAATACATTGTTTATGTTTAAAAGTATATGCAGTAAAAGTAAATAGATATCACTGAGATGATAAATGGCAAATTCAGAACAGTATCTACTCTATAGGAATGAGAGTAGAATCATTTACTTCAGAATTTCATAGCTTAATGTCTCCTAAGAGCATGACTTGAGTCTAAATCTTAACCACCTTATTTTTATTTTACTGAAACCATAAAAAGACCTATTTGTTCTTAATGCTAGTTGAAGCTAGTTATCTCAGAAATTAAAAACTATAATACTCTTATGCCCTGCAGTTTGGCAGGCTATAAGCCATCTCCAGCAAAGTAAGGAGACTATTTCTAAAGCAAAATACAAAGGAAAGGGTTGAGGTTGTAGTTCAAGTGGTAGGCTGCTGGCCTAACATGTGAGAGACCCTAAATTCAATCCTTACTACCAAACAAAACCACAACAAACACTATACAATGCTTGTACTACTTCTGTGCTTCAGTTTCCTCACCTATAACATGAGGATAGTAATAACATCTGATTTGCAGGGCTGTTATCATTGTTCAAAAAACTAAAACCACACTCTTGTGCAAACCTTTAATGAAATAACAGATTTGGCAATGATGAGATGATCAGATGTGTCCTTCCAGATGAATTTCATCACATTGCCTACCTCCTTCTCCCCAAAAGAAGATTTTAATTAGATCAAGTGTTTAGGTCCTAAGTGTTAGTTTAGGAGGAACTATGTTAACAGAAAAATATGTTAAACACAATTTCAGATGCATCATCAGAAAAATTCCCTAGAAAGAACACTCAGACAAATGACTTGTTTTTAAAAAATTAAATTGAAAACCTAGAGGAGAAGCTACATATGCAAGGCTACCAAGAGACTTAGCAACCATATGCAATATGAAGAGCTAAAATAATCTTCTGGAGATATAGACTGAAATAATTCAGTGTAGATGAAATAGTGATGTCTGGAGTTCATATTAAAACATTCCATACATACTGTGGAAAATAACAGATGAACTAGACAGCCTATGAGTTGATTGTTACTGAAGCCAGGAACAGACACACAGTCTTCATTATACTCTTCTAGTTTTATAACTGAACTTCCCGCAATAAAAAAAATGTGAATTAATACATACCAGTAATTCCACAAAAGTTTGTTGCTATGATCTTTAAATTTCATCCAAAAGACTATATATTACTACTTTAGTTTACCATTTCCTCCATGTGAATTCCATAAAATTGTCATGATAGATAATATAATAACCAACATCTTTTTTTAAGTGAGCAGTGTCCTATTTACTTTCTTCTTTGTATCTCTCACCCCTCTCTCTTTTTAATTGTCTAGTGATTTTAAAACTCCTACTGCTGATCAAAAACTAATGGAAGACAAAACCAGCAGGTTTACCTGCAAAGGAAAGCCAGTTTACCATTTCCTGGGAGTCAGTTCATTCTCTCAATACACTGTGGTGTCTGATGTCAACCTTGCCAAAATACATGATGATGCAAATTTAGAGCGTGCATGTCTGTTTGGATGTGGGTTTTCATCTGGCTATGGTGCTGCAATCAATACTGCCAAGGTAAATCGTTAAAAGGTCCAAGGTTTACAAACAGAGATTACTTGGAGGTAATATAAAGAAGCCTGCATTAATTATCTTCAAATCTTGGCTATTTGTTTCTTACTTTGTGATAATTTAAACTCTCTAGAAAAATACCCACTGGTAATACTTGTAAGAATAATTAAATTATACCACCTGTGTAAAATAGCTGGCCTCCTAGCTGGCATAGGCTTAGCACCTGTTTCATGTTATATGCTATACCAGCCTGCTAGATTATAAATCGTCCTCATAAAGCCTGATCAAATATGTTTCATATTATCTTATCTCAGGACAACGGACCCAAAAGGCAACAGAAACCATAGAAACCGTCAAGATAACCATTCAGGCTCCTACTTCCTCTCTAATGCAGGGGATTCATGTTCATTCAATAATAATTTATCTTAGATTCCCATCCCTTTATGAGTACAAGTGACTGTATCTTCTGCCACTCCTGATGGTAGCAAGATATGGCTCTGGAATCCCACATTAGAAAAAAAAATTACCAGGATGTTTAAGCTAGCTATAAGAGAGATGTTGAGAAAGTTTCTCCTAGTGAATGTCTCAAATGTTGCAGGGAAGACTTCCTCGACCTCTCAGAGTCTTCATTGTCAGACAAGGCATCTGGATTCCATTCCATCTTCTAAAGAAATCAGTTATCTGGAATCATAAGTCAATCAATCACTGGAGATCTAATTTTTAAAGGGCAAAAAATTACCTCCTTAAAATATGCGAACTTTTTTTTCTGACCACACTGAAAAGTAAAATAAGGGAATTATTTTTATTTGAAATGTTCTTTATGAACTGATCATCTTCATGGCCCTTAAATAATTCTCTAAACTTAGAAAGTAATGTACTGATTTTCATATTGGCAGATTTTTTTCATTGAATGTATCATACGGTTTTATAACAAGCAGTCTTAGGCTTGTATTTTGGAGTCTTCACCTCACCCTACCCTTTAAGAGAAACTAAAACTGTGGAGCCATCTGCTATAAAAGTTATACTCTACAATTTTTCTGCCTGCAGGTCACCCCTGGTTCTACCTGTGCTATCTTTGGCCTAGGAAGTGTAGGTCTTTCTGCTGTAATTGGCTGTAAAGTAGCAGGAGCTTCCAGAATCATCGTTACTGACATCAACAATGAGAAGTTTACTCACGCCAAAGCCCTGGGAGCAACTGATTGTCTAAATCCTAGAGAGCTAGACAGACCCATCCAGGAAGTCATCATTGAAATGACCAATGGCGGGGTGGACTTTGCCATTGAGTGTATAGGAGGATATCAACACATGGTTTGTACATTTTTTTCCTTGTGTGTTTTCAATGTGTTCTTTAATCATCAAATGATAGATGAAGATGGGCTGCTTGCAGTTGGTATAATTATTCCTTCTTAATCTTTTCAAATAAGAGCTGTCAGCCATAATTCATTTAAACATTCCCTCAGCCTTCCATGCCCACTGATTTGTCCTGTATTCATCTTCTTTCTGTTACCAACAAGGAAATATCTGAGACTGGGCACTTGTATAGAAAAGAGGTTTGTGTGCGGTCATGTAGGCTAGAAGTCAAACCGTATAAGGCTGTCTGCAGTCAGGATGGCCCTCAGGGCTGACAGCATCTGGGTGGGAATATGTATGAGGAAAAAGTCACATGGCAAGACAGGAAGCCAGAGTGAAGATCTGGGCCAGTAGCAATCACAAACTGGGCCATACCTCTTTATTTGAGATCCCTTTTAATTGCTCAATATAACATATTGTTAGACTGAAAATAATTTTCAATTGTTTTCCAATTTCCTATTTCTTTTTTATTTACTTTGTTCTGAATGTCATAAGGTGGTACAGGAGGTTAAGATTTCATGGGTCCAGTGAGGTGCCCAGTACTTCCTGCTCAGAGTCACCCTTCCATCATTCTTCCCCATCCCATCTGCTCTCTCTCACCAGGCTCATTTCACATTGCCTACTTTATCACATAGGAACAGTTAATAACTTGGCTGTATTTGTCCCCTGTCCCTTCTCCTTTGGGAATAAAAAAAATCATTTTTGTTTTGTAGCTAGGTTGGCCTCAAAGTCACTGTGTAGCCAAACTGGCCTTGAATTCACAATGTTCCTGGCATAATCCTCTAGTACTAGAATCACAGGCTTGTGCAACCACACTGGGCTATCTTATTCATTTGTAATTGGCTAAGAAAATGCCCCTTTTGACTATTAAATAAAATAAGGTAAAAAGTCAACTACAAAACATAGACTATGAACAGAAAAGGTACCTTGCTATAATGCCCAGCATTATTCTTCACTAAATATTCACCTAATATGCATTTGCTCAAAGACACTAAACTGAGGGGAATTTTTTGTTTTGTTTGCTTTCTGACTTTTTATGAAATGATCAAATAACTGAAGAGAGTTGGAAGTATATATAGTTCAAGTGGTAGGGCAATTGCCTAGCAAGTGCAAGGACCTGAATACAAAACTCTAGTATAATACCCATACAGAAAGAAAATGAATTTATAAAAATGAATTATTTGTTCATGCATTCTTCTTGTTTCGTTAGTGGGAGTTACAAAAAGCAGTTGTGGTCAGGGACCAGAAGCCTGTAATCCTAGCTACTCAGGAGGCAAAGATCTGAGGATTGCAGTTCAAAGGCAGCCCAGGCAGGAAAGTCTGTGAGACGCTTATCTGCTCAAAAAAAGCCAGAAATGGTGCTGTGGGCCAAGTGGTAGAATGCTAGCCTTGAGCAAAAGAAGCTCAGGGACAGAGCTGAGACCCAGACTTCAAGCCCCAAGCCTGGCAAAAAATAAAAATAAAAACTAGTTGTGATTTCATTCCTTTTCACTTACACCTTCACTCAGCCTGGTTCCTAAACACTCCTCTAAAGAAGAGATAAAGAATAAAATTCAACATCCCCAGAAGTGGACTTCGTAATGTGTCCAACCCGGAATTTTATCTGACTGGTGCAATCCCTAGAAGAGAGAATGAAAACCCAGGAAGAACTGTGATGAGAACGATGTTCCCTAAAATATTGTATATTTCCACATTGGAGTTCATGCTCTGCTCTTCTATGACTCTAGAAATCTTTTGTGTTTGACCCTTCAGAGAGCAGCTCTGGACTCCACATCAGTAGGTGGGGGAACCTGTACTTTGGTCGGAGTGAAGGCTGGCGACAAAGCACTGGATGTGTCTCCAGAGGAGCTAATAATGGGCCGTACTCTAAATGCAACATTCTTTGGAGGTTAGTACTTTTTTACCTTCATGGATTTAAATTTTCTTGGTAGCAGTATGAAATTGTTAGACTGGGCTGGGAAGGTGGCTCAGTAGAGTGCTTGCCTTGCATGCTTGAGGCACTGAGTTCAATTCCTCAGCACCACATAAGCAGCAAAAGCCAGAAGTGGCGCTGTGGCTCAAGTGGTAGGGCGCTAGCCTTGAGCTGAAAGCTGAGGGACAGCGCCCAAGCCCAGAGTTCAGGCCCATGACCGACAAAAAAAAAAAAAAAAAAAAGAAAGAAAGAAATTGTTAGACTGAGGATTATTGAATCATCTGCTTCAAATTGAGAACCTAAAACATATCTGGAGAAAAACAAAGGAGGGGGCAACAATGCTCAACAAGAAATATACTCATTACCTTACTCCTGTAACTGTAATCCCTCTGTACAGCATCTTTACAATAAAATAAAAAATTTTAAAAGACTATATAAAAACTCATTATATTAAAGTAAATGGAATGTTCATAGAAAGATGATCACAAATGACATATTAAAATTCAAGTTGCATTCAAATGAACCAACATAGAGAAGCAGAAAGTAAACACTGACCTAATTGAGGTAATTCCCTATCCAGAGTAGAAAATAATCTTGTGTGTGTGTATGTGTGTGAGTGTATGCAGGTATGTGCTTGTGCATGCATGCCAATATTGGGGCTTGAACTCAGGGCTTGGGCACTGTCCCTAAGCTTTGTTGCTCAAGATCAGTGCTCTATCACTTGAACCATCGCTCCACTTCCAGCTTTTCTTTGGTAGTTTAGCCCACAGAGTTTCCTGCTTGGCTGGGTTCAAACTGCGATCCTCAGATCTCAGTCTCCTGAGTAGCTCCTGAGTAGGATTACAGACATGAGCCACTGGCACCTGGTTTGAATATTTCTTATAAAGAAAAAACTAGAGATAAAAAAATTAAAGCTATATAGAGAGTATAGAATATTAAAGGTGTACACAAAATTAAAGAGGAGAAGGTGTTTAATGTATTTGAAACTTGGGTTACTTCAAACTGACCTAATATTAATTCATTTAACTCACGCTTATTAAAACTACTTCTTCATGTGACATCTTTTTATTTGGTATTTTGGCCAAATTACAGGATGGAAGAGTGTAGATTCTGTACCAAAGTTGGTTAACGACTACATGAATAAGAAATTCAATCTGGATCTATTTGTGACCCACAACCTACCTTTTGACCAAGTCAATGAGGCATTCGACCTAATGAACCAAGGAAAAAGGTAAATCACTAGATAGATGATTGAGTAGTTTAGAAACCTTTGTGATGTCTTTTTTTTAGTATCATGTAAGCCCTAACCATTTTCCTTTTCTGACTTTTCTTATTGTAATTACTAAATGTGCTTCATCGACTGAACAATGGCCAGTTTGAGCTGGGGGGAGAGAGGGGCAGCTGTTAGTACTGTAAGGCACCCTGTTACTTACAGTATGATGTGGAGCACTAGTACAAACTGGTGTGTGCTTGCCCTTTCACCAGTGTTCACTAGGTGACATTACTCCCCTACAAGGAGAGGCTTCTCAATATAATGTTAGACCCCTCTGGTTCAGTGTACTCCTGAGTCTGGAATGCATATGTTCTGCAATTTGACATGGAGTGTCCACACCAGGCCCTACATGAAAACGCCCTTTGACACCACAGGGATGTGAGCACACAGTGGCAGGTGTCAGACTGGTGAAGGATCCTGCGACTCTCTCATTATCTTGCTCTGACACTTTCTGACCCACAATTTTAGATATCAGGTGCTCCCTTGTCTTGGATCCTAGGAACTGATTTATACCATGTTCCTACTGAACACTACCCTAGGAGTGGAATGTGGGTAAGATTAGGATCAATTATTTTACTTAAAATGTTCAAGCATAACCTTGATTGGTAGAAGTAAACAGTAAAAAAAAAAAAAAAAAAAAAAAACAAAAACCATGAGGATTCAGGTTACTGATAAGAAATACAAGGCAAAGAGGAAAAGGAAACTTGAAGGCCTAGCAAGGACATAGGAGGAGCTTATGAGGAGGTAAAAATGACAGGAGTTCACAGAAGAGAATAAATGTTTTAGAAAAAGAAAACAGGTCTATGGTTTGAGTACTCAGGCTGTTTCACAGAGAAGAAATCTGAGAAAGCCACAACATAACAAAAAGTAGCTCTATCAAAAGAAAAGAAAAAATAAAGAATATCTTTAAACTATACTATATAAACTTTACTAAGCTAACATAATAAGCCCTAAAATAATATGCACATCTCACTACAGCTCAAAATGTGTGTTCTTCAAGTTAGTACCTGGGTATGGGTTTGGAGCCTTATGCCTGAAGTTCATAGCTCCTCTACCTAGAGATCTTAACCTAGAGATCTCAGTCACAGACTGTACCACAGGGAATGCTAAGTGGGAGACAAATGGTAAATGTTCCATCACTTTATCAGTAAGTTGGCAGGTCTCCATTTCTGCAAGAAGGCTTCCCTCATAATTAGCGCTGAAGCAGAAGCCTATACTTCCTATTCCCTAGCTAGCCCCCCGATGAAACCATCTTATTGTCCACACAGATGGAAAGGTAGCATCAGGAAAGGAACTTAATGGTCCCTCTCAGGTATACTCACCATGTGGCACAGGTGCTCCTTCCACAACTGCACAGAAGCAAGGGAGTAGATGGAGGGAGATGGAACACACATCTGTTTACCCTGGCTTGTGACGACGAAAAGACTAGGTTTCTCCTATTACACAAAGATGTCACTTCCAGTTTCTGGGTAGAGAAAATATGTAAGCATGGTACCCTGCTGATGTCAGGAAGTCCACAGTAATGTCTGAGATAAGGAATTCTCTGTCCTTGAGGCTTATCCCCTTCTTAATTCCCATACTTTGAAGTTATCAAGGACTGAAAACAACTGGGTTGCCAGAAAGTAGCATCCCAACACACCAAATTCCTCTCATGAGCATCTTTGCCGTGGCAAAGGGAAAGCCAAGAGCAGTGACTAGCCTCCTCCTCCCTCCATGGTATGCCCTACTCATCAACAGCACCAGAGGGCAACAGGACTCCACAGCTCAAATGAGATCACAATTTCCTGAATGACTATGAAGGAAGATTAGACCAAACGCTGAACTGAAAGAGCAAATATTTCTTGTGGGCTTTGGGTAAATTGTTCAGGTAAATTAATTTATTATTGCTTTATTTTTATTAACAGCATCCGAACAATTCTGACCTTTTGAAGACCCCAGGAACAATTTAGAAGATATGATTGTCTGATTAATATGATAAATCAAGGAAAGTATGACTTGTAAGAAATAGTCTCAGCTAATATCGCAGCATAAAATAGCAATTAATAGTAGAAGAATCTCACCCAGGCCCAGAGTTCAAGCCCCATGACTGACAAAAAATAAAAAAAAAAATTTGGGAGATATGAGTGATACAAGAAAGTGATTTTTAAAAAAGATACAGGAAGTAGCGCTGTAGCTCAAGTGGTAGAGCGCTCGCCTTGAGCTGAAGAGCTGAGGGACAGCACCCAGGCCCAGAGTTCAAGCCCCACGACCGACCAAAAAAAAAAAAAATTAAAAAAAAAAAATGGGGGGGGGGAGGGGGGGGTATGATTGGGTGGGGGGGAGGGGGGAGGCTGGGAAGGGAGGTGAAGGGTAAACAAAGGAGGAGGCTGCAATGCTTGGTAAGAAATGTATGCATTATCCTGCCCATGTAATTGTAACCCCTCTGTACAGTATGTTCTCAAATAAAATAAAATAAAATTAAAAAAAAAAAAGATACAAAAAATAGTAGAAGAATCTGTAATCATAAAGGTCTTCAGGGATGGGAAGGTGACTCAGTGGTAGAGTGCTTGCCTTGGATGCTTGAGGCCCTGGGTTCGATTCCTCAGCACCACATAAGCAAAAATGAAAAAAGCCGGAAGTGGCACTGTGACTCAAGTGGTAGAGCGCTAGCCTTGAGCTGAAGAGCTGAGGGATAGTGTCCAGGCCCAGAGTTCAGGCCCCACGACCGGACCCCCCCCCCAAAAAAAAACCAAACAAAACAAAACATAAATGTCTTCAGACTTACCTGTGTTAACAATGATAACAAAAGTGTTCAAGAATAGACTCACAGGGTGTCTAGGAATTGTCTAAAACTAGTTTTGGGGAGAAAGAATGCAGGAATAAATAAACCTGGATTTTTATGTTTATAATTTTTAAGTTCACTAATGAATATATGGAGGTTTATTATATTAATCTCTTTACTTTTCTCTATGTTGAAATTTTTCTACAAAATAAAATCTTACTGGGCACTGTGGCTCAAGTGGTAGAGTGAATGCCTTTAGCTGAAGAGCTCAGGGACAGTGCCCAGCAGAGTTCAAGCTCCACAACTGACAAAAAGCAAAAAGAAAAAAAATCTTACTGGAAAGTATCACTATGTTTATCACTATATTGATCATATTCATATATAAAATACTGTTATATGATTTGTGTTCCAATAAGCCAAAGGCACTCTTTGTAAATAAGCTGCCAGATTTTTTCCTTTTTAATCTGTGTCATCTTCTCATGTCCCCACTACTATAACCAGAAGTAATGAGATGCCAGAACCTACATTAATAAAAATTTATTGAAAGAAAAATGAGTCTATACTCTGAAAGTTGTTTTCTAAAATATCTTCCATTTTATCTTTGATAATTATCATAACTGTAATGTGTAGTGCTTTGCAGATCACTCTTACTATATTCTTTGTTACTAAAAGTAACAAAGAACAAAGCAAGTTGGTCTCCAGTGGCTCACATTTGTAATCATACCTACTAAGGAAGCTGAGATTTGAGGATCAGGGTTTGAAGCTAGCCCAGACAGGAAAGTCTATGAGACAATTAATCACTAAAAAAAAGCTAAAAATGGAACTGTGGTTTAAATGGTAGCATACTAGCCTGGGCAAAAAGGCTCAGAGACAGCACACAGGTCCTAAGTTCAAGCCCCAAGACATACACACACACAAACCAAAAAGAGCAGTGTATTACCATAAAGTCATATAGAGGATGAAGACATTTATGATCTTATAAGATTCAACAGTAAGACTAATGTGGGAAGAGCAAGTCGGACTTTTCTCTTACCATGATAGATGTTAGAATAGCTGCTCACAAAAGATGAGTTACATAATTCAGGTCAGAGTAAAAGTTGCTAGCTTCCAACCTGGAGTAGTTGCTTAAATCTACCTGTTTTCTTTAAAACTTGTCTACATTTTGAACTCTGAGAGAAAACCATCTCTGAAGTTTTAGCTGATGTGAGTAGTAATGACACAAAGCAGAAACTCACATTGCTGCTTAGTTAAGATTTTATTTCTTTGGAAATAGAAGCCAGTTCATCTGTAGATGCTGCTTGTGTTGGCATTATGGAGACTAACATGTACCCTGCCATTGGTTGCCTTTCTCACACTATTGTCTGGGGGGTAGTCTTCTCTCTCCTCATCCTCTGCCTCTTCTCCTCTGCTTTTTTAAATTTCCTATGATCAGTTTGGGATTTACCTCTTCTTCAACTCCTCTCAGCCACAAAGCTACTTTCATGACCTGATATGCTTTGACTTCTTGTCTCTTTGCTAAAGCATATGCTGATTTTGTAGTTTTTCATTTGTTTGTAAACTCCTTGAAATTAGAACAATCTCTACATTCAAACACACTCTGTACACACTTCTTAATATCGAAAGTTTATCCTCATGAATGTGTAAATAGTTCATATTTTTTAGAATAGAATTTTTCTAATACATTTTCCATACCAAAACTATGAAATTTTCAGGGAAAAATAATTAAATACACAAAATAATCAGATTCTGAATTTTCTGGATCTGAAATTATTACACATATTTAAGCTGCAAAGGTGCACAAAATTGAACCACCAGATTGTTTTCAACGTGTGCTATAGCCCCCTCTTGTGGTAATTCTTCATTTCTTCATCTCCTAGATGCTATCTTCTCCATTCCTTGCAATTACTAGGCTTTCTGGTTCATGGCTGTTCACAAAGAGCACTCTACCATTCGCTGGAGCAATGCCTCCAGTCAAGCTTTTCGTTGGATAGTTTTGAGGATGGAATCTCAGGGATATGGCTGCCCAGAATGGCTTTGAACTGAGATCCTCCAGATCTCAACCTCCTCAGTACCTAGAATTATAGGCATAAGCTACTGGTATCCAATGCTGACATTTTAAAGAGCACTTTCATGTATTATTTCTTCTGCTCCTCAAATATTTTTAACTATGCCATAAGCTGCTTTAGAGGTTTTCCAGCTATTCACCCAGAGACAGGCAAGATAGAACTTATTCACATTATTGAGTGAAACTTGTATTACAGGAAACACACTGTTTTCTAACTATATTATGGAACAGGCTTGAGACTGTTGTTGTCATTATGAGAACAGGAAGGAAGGAAGGAAGGAAAAAGGAAGGAAGGAAGGAAGGAGGGAGGGAAGGAGGGAGGGAGGGAGGGAAAGAAGGAAAGAAGGCAGGTAGGCAGGCAGGCAGGCTGCTGAAGGGGTAGTAATTTCACTCTAGACAAAAATAAAAAAGAGGGGGTATGGGAAGGAATGGGAAGGAGAAACAAAGGAGGAGGCAACAATGCTTGATAAGAAATGTACTCATTATCTTGCCCATGTAATTGTAACCTGTCTGTACGGTATTTTCACAATAAAATTTTTTTTTTTTTTTTTTTTTTCCGGTCGTGGGGCTTGAACTCTGGGCCTGGGCGCTGTCCCTCAGATCTTCAGCTCAAGGCTAGCTCTCTACCACTTGAGCCACAGCGCCACTTCCGGCTTTTTTCTTTTTGCTTATGTGGTGCTGAGGAATCGAACCCAGGGCCTCAGGCATGCAAGGCAAGCGCTCTACCACTGAGCCACCTTCCCAGCCCCTAAAAAAAAATTTAAAATAAAAAAATATAATGGTAAAGAGAAGACCCTTTATATCCTGCCTCAGGATATTATCATGGAAAGATATTGCAGGCTACAGCTACAGATGTCTTGCAACTACTGTGGGAAAAATAAAGCCATGGCAGAAAAACTAGTGTCATGGAGCAGCACTTTTGCCACCCCCCAAAATCATGGTAGATCAGATAACACTACTTGGCAAACTGATCCTGCTGCCTGACTAATGAGGGTGCCTACTTTGCCTCTCTTGCCTCGCTAGTTGGTCATGACTACCCCAGTATCTGGTACCCTGGGTAAAACCAGACAGCCATCTCAACCATAGCATCCTACCAACCTAGAGAGAAATTTAGTCACCACATTCTTCCTCCACAATAGGCTTCCCAATACTGTGCGAATGTTTACTTTTTGCTCTTTCACCTTCCCCTTAAGGAAGAAGTAAATGGAATAAGTGAGCAGATAGAACATGGCAGATTATTTCCAGCATTCCTCTTCCTTTGTAATCATTTTTCTCTATACTCATTCCTTTACATTATCACCAGAAGATCTGAGAGCTCAACTTCATTCAATGTGCATTGGTGAGGTTGGGTTTCTATGTATAAATAGATTATTTTAACCATTCATGTTACAGCTGTGCCACAAAGCACCCACAGTGCTCCTAATATCACCTAAAATTATGTTCTGTCCTTGAATTCCCACAGAAATTATTCTCACAAAAGCTGGTCAGATTTTTTTCTATATGCATTATCAAAATATACTGCAAATTATGGTAGTTAAGCTGTCTCCTTTCAGAATTAACTTGTAATTACTCTTCGCAACTTAATCTATTTTACAGGCTTGGAGAAATAAGGGATAATGATGGATGGAACATGAGGGCTTAGCTTCTTCTAATACCTCTAATATTCCTTTTGCAGTGGTAAAATCCATGGGCAAGCCTTGTTAAGAACAGAATTTCCTGGCACATTTCAAAATGGTTGCTTTGGGGGGTAGGAAGGTAGTTCAGTGGTAGAGCATGCATGAGGCCTGGGTCTGATTCCTTGGCACCACATAAGCAGAAAAAGCCAGAAGTAGTGCTGTGGCTCAAGTAGTAGAGAGCTCAACTTGAGCTGAAATGCTCAGGGACAGCACATGAAGCCAGTGCTCACGTGGGGTCAGTGTTCATGCCACCTAACTGACAAAAAAAAAAGTTGCTTTCCAACTCCCCATAGGAAAAGGATGAGATTTTTCTCCAATCTTCACTGTGAGGACTTATGTAGGTGACACTCATGAATCATGAGAGCCTGCCCTCCTCCATGAATAGGTCCCCTGGTGGTTTTTAACTTTCCGCTGATCACAAGTAGACTCTAGCTGTTCATCATTTACATTGCAACTCCAGTACTGGTCCCAGCAGTGATGGGTTTTTACCTCAGGTAACTATGATTGTAACCATCTGCCTCTCTAATTTTGGAGGCAACAATTTCCCCTGTGACCTTACTTCTCTTACAGATCTAAGAATTGTTATTGAATCAGTTCATTCAGCCTTTTACTGGAGAGATTGTACTAATCTCCTTACATTTCAGACCACAAACCAGCAGTACCATAAAAGCTCAATGGTCTCTTTCCGGAAGATAAATGATGTGTCTTCAATAGGGAAAAGAAAAATAACTCACTGCTAAAAGGTCTATCATTAGAATTTTTTCCCACATCCCAAGCAGAAGTACCAGAATATACAAGAAAGCAGAGTCATTTGAAAGAATGACAAATGTTCTACAAGAGGGACTTGTCTGGCAGAATAGCAGGAAATAAGAACAGAATGAGGTTATTCAGGGCTGACTAGGTTAAGGACAGAGTTTAGATTTTATCTCTTAGTCCATGAAGAATTTAAAGTAGAATAGTGACATTTTGTTTATAACACAGCTCACTCAAAAACTTTAAGCAGCAGAAAGGAAATGGCATCAATTAACTTATGTTTTAGAACATTTAATAACGCATTAGATTTTAACGGCCAGTCATCAAGTAACTCAGATAGAAGGCTCTTTCCACAACCCTGCAAAAAATGAACAGAGGCTGAACGAAGGCGGGGAGACTAGGTGTGAAAGATATTTAGGGTTTGGTGACAGATGGGATGGAGAGAATGAAGAAGTTGTGACTCTCGGATTTCTGGCTGGAGGAAGAAGGTGGATGCCATCAATGTACAGAGACATAGAGGGGAAACAAGTCCCTTCAAGGATAAATACAAGATAAATCATAGACGCGTTGAGTTCGAAATATTGCAGTATCTCCTACTGGAGAAGGCATCTAACAGTTGTGACACCACAAGTGGAGACAATAATCTGGTCACTACTCTTGTCTCTAGGGAAGTTAAAGGTCATCGTGTGGGTGAGAGTGTGGAGAGAAGGGAAGAAGGAACTTTGAACAGAATCTTCGAGAACACCTATCACTTCGGAAATGAAGCATGAAAGACTGAAGGTAGACCAAGCGTCTCGGTCGGCCAGGACCATTCCAGCCAGCCATCTTCCCTCCGCAGAGGGTCCCACGGGGAGGCTTCTCACAGCCGCCACCCTCCCTGCCAGGTTCTTCCCCAACCCCGTCCTGCTGCTCCCAGAAACCCTACCCACCCGTCAGGAGCAGGGGCAATGGCACTGGGGAGGTTTCTAGAAAGCCCTCCCTCGTGCGCCCGCTCGCGCCGGTCCCTCGCTGTGGCGGGCCACAGGAGTGTGGAAAGGAAGAAGGCCTCGGCCGAGGGAGGGCAGCGACCGACTTCCGGTCACGTGCTCCGGGCCAGGCCACAGCTCCCCTCTACCCTCGCGGTTCCTAGGCTGACCCCACATGGGGAGATTGCCAACCAGGGTAACTTGCAACGAGCCTAGCGAATGACCCACGAAGGCGTCGCCGGGTGGCCCGCCAGGCTGGAAGCCACCGCAGACAAGCATGCACCAGGTATACTTCCGTTTTTCACCCCGCACTTCCGGTTCCCACCTGTCTCCCACGCTGCCGAGCCCCGCCTCCGCGCATGCTCCGCGGGAGGCAGCACCGCCCAGGCCCGCCTCCACGCTTGCCCCGCCCACATCCCAGGCTCAGGCTGTCCATCCGGGACTTCTGCGCAGACCCGACATGGCGAACCAGGTATCCCCGGGCGCGCGATGGGTCCCGAGGCGGGAAGGGGGGCACAGGTGGCTGCGGGTCCCCAGCCCGGGAGCGCGCGGGCTTGGATAACAGGATCCCCGGCCAGCACGCGAAGGAGAGGAAGGGAGGCTTTGGGACCCGGGCTTGCAACGCGGCTTCCTCTGCTCTCTGCAGCAGCGTCGGGAGACCGGGGCGCGGGTCGGGCGGGAGGAGCGGGGCCGGGAGCCCGGGGCCGGCCGGCGCGGGCCTCGAACCTTCGGTCCTTCTGGGTCCGGCTTGTTCGGCCCGATCCTCCGTGGATGGCGTCCGCCCCGCTCGTCGCTGTGCTGCTTGGGGGAGGACGCCGGGGTCCCCTGGACGGCGGGGCCGCGGCCCCCGAGAGCAGCCTCCTCCCGAAAGCCTTGCACAGCGGCTCTGCGGGCTCTCCGCCAATCAGAGCAAAGGTCGGAGCGCGGCCTTCCCAAGTCCGACGTGCTTGTGGTCAACACCCGATGCCCAGTGGGGAGCCGACGTGGTTCTGCGCCCTGGGTCTGTTGGCACACTTCGGTCCCCGGGCCCTGGAAAACATTACACAAGCCAGACAGGCCATCAGCCTCTGTTGCTGATCACATTGCACACTTGGGATATTTTCTAGAAGGTTCTGAAATGTTAAAGTTTAAAAGAAATGAGACATTGTGAAAGGGCTTTCAGTTTTAAACATGCAGCTTTTGCTGCTTTAATTTTAAAGGCAATATTTGTAGTTACATTACTTATGTAGGCTGCTTTTTGTATCTATGTAAGTTCACCTCTCTTTTTTCACCACACTTTGTTGTACTTACTCTTGTAAAACTTCATTGACAAAAGCTGCCCTAGATACCTCACTTTGGGGAATCAGCCTATGTAGGTGTTTTATCACCTTCTGTGGCAAACTCCTCTTCAACCTTCCACTCCAGTTTAAAAGTGGAGCTTTCCCAAAAGTGTCACCCAATGTTTCTGTTCTTCCTTCCACTCATAATTATTGACTTTCAAGTTTCCTATAAATTGGGGGATTTGTGACCTTGATTCTGCCAACACATTTCAGAAGCATGTGAATAGACCCAAACCTAACTTTCCCAGTGCTACTCTGTGCTGTAGATAAGTCAGCTGCATATGTAGTTTTAATTTTTTCAGTAACAACATACAAAAGAACAAGTGAAATTAATGTTAATAGCTTGTGGGGTTCTTTCTGCCCAGGCTGGCCACAAACCACCATCCCTCTCATCCCTACCTCTAGAGTAGATGGGATTGATTATAGGTGAACACCACCATGCCCACCTCATCTGCTCTTCTTTATGCATTATAGTCATTGAATAGTTGATGAATACAGATTTTAGCTGAGAGAGGCTTTTATAGAGTGAAGAGGTAGCCATCTCAAGTACACTTTTTTAAAGCATATTATTCATGTGAAATCTTAAAACAATTCTGCATATCCCTTAGAAGGACATGTCTCTCTGTGAAACTATGATACACTTTCAAAGGTTAGCATTCACCAGTACCCAAATTGTCCACTAAGTATTTTATTTATTTTTTTTATTTTTTTGCCTGTCGTGGGGCCTGAACTCTGGGCCTGGGCACTGTCCCTCAGCTCTTCAGCTCAAGGCTAGCGCTCTACCTCTTGAGCCGCTTCCAGCTTTTTTCTTTTTGCTTATGTGGTGCTGAGGCCTCATGCGTGCAAGGCAAGCACTCTACTACTGAGCCACCTTCCCAGCCCCCCACTAAGTATTTTATTAGTAAACAATTTACTTTCTTTTTCTCCTTCCCTTGCTGTAGGTTATCAAGTGCAAGGCTGCAGTTGCTTCGGAGCCTGGAAAGCCTCTCTCCGTAGAGGAGATAGCAGTAGCTCCACCAAAGGCTCATGAAGTACGAATTAAGGTAATGATGCACCTGAGACACAGAAAAGACTCACAATGAGGTCTCTGTAGAGATGAGTAAGTCTGAGGCCTACAAAGATTAGGTCTTAAAGGACAGAGTCAGGGAGAAGGTATGGAAAGTCTCTCCAGCCCTAGAATCACAGCATCCTGTTCTTAACCCTGCTCATCTTTGCAGGATTTCCCTCCAGCATTTTAGGTGTGGAATGGACCTAAGCAACCATTCCCAAGGATTACTGAGTTAGTGCAATATGTATAACTTCAGTCTTTTGGGTTTAAGGTAGTTTTATAAACTACTCCTTTTCTGCTATATATATATATATATATATATATACATATATAATTTCAAAGGTATGTTGTATTAGAAATAGAATAAGAAATGATTTTCAGTTTTGTTAGAAGCACCCCAGGAAAATCTGGAAGGAGGCTCCAGATGAACTACAGCAATAAGCAAATGAAGTCCCTTGATTGTGGAGCTTTCTGATGGATGATTCATGGCAGCAGGGCCAGGCATCAGTGGATTTGTGTTCCCTGTGCTGCTCAGCCTCACAAGAGAAAGGAAATTACCTCTGAATAGCGGTCTCTTGAACAAGGCAGCCAACTCTAGCCTTGACATTTATAAACTTGCTCCTTTCAGCATTCTCTTCTCTACTTGTTTTTAGACATAAAGTTAATGCTTGAAAGTAGTGGGTGTTTCCTTAATATCCTATGAAAAGGTTACATTTGAGAAAAAGGGTCACAGCTCTCTCTTTTTTTTTTTTTTTTTGGGTCCGGTCGTGGGGCCTGAACTCTGGGCCTAGGTGCTGTCCCTCAGCTCTTCAGCTCAAGCCTAGTGCTCTGCCACTTGAGCCACAGCGCCACTTCCTGGCTTTTTTTTTCTTTTTGCTTATGTGGTGCTGAGGAATCGAACCCAGGGCCTCAGGCATGCGAGGCAAGCACTCTACCACTGAGCCAACTTCCCAGCCCTCACAGCTCTCTTTAAGTTGGCAAATTAAGCAGGTTGTGAGTTTTGCCACCAGTGAAGACAGTGTCTGTCCTGGGAAGTAAGGTGAGCTGTTTGCAACAGGATGGGTTCGGTTCTCATTCCTGGGAAACAGCTAATGGGTGGCAAAGAATGTTACACTTCACAGACACATGCAGGCCAGAAGCAGAGCAGTGCAAGAGCTCTGAGAGTTCTATGCTTTAGTGGCTCAGAAAGATAAGATTCTTGAGAGCCAGAGAGAGAGGAGTTAAAGGCTTATGCACTACTTATCTTTGGTGGCAGAAAAGGACTGCTGTGACTGAAAGCTCTTAGTTTGGACCCAGACTCCAGGAGACACCTGGCATATTTCAGAATTAGCCAATTTTTTTTTTTTTTTTAAGAAATCCTATTTCCCTACAGGAAACCAGCAATGAGAAAGCCATGATGTTCCTTTTCACACCTGAAAATACAGTGCCCATAATACCATCTCCTACTTTAACCTGCCTACAGAACAAACAAAGAGAATAGTGGGGCATTTTTCATTTCATAGAAATGCACCACCAAGCCGGGCGCCGGTGGCTCACGCCTGTAATCCTAGCTACTCAGGAGGCTGAGATCTGAGGATCGCGGTTCAAAGCCAGCCCAGGCAGGAGAGACCATGAGACTCCTATCTCCAATAAGCCACTAGAAAACTGGAAGTGGCGCTGTAGCTCAAGTGGTAGAGCACTCACCCTGAGCTGAAGAGCTGAGGGACAGCGCCCAGGCCCAGAGTTCAAGCCCCACAACCGCAAAAAAAAAAAAAGAAATGCACCACCAGCAAATGCTACCAGGATTCATTGTGAGGACTCCTTGGGTTGCAAACACTACTAACTTTCAGGAAGTTAAACTCTGAATGAAATGTCCCTCAAAGTTAACAGAATGCTTTGTGTGGTAAAGTACTTTTCATTGACTTGACTACTCTCCCAGAATTGCATGATCACACACTCTGATGCCTTTTATTTTAATCTCCTTGTAGATCATTGCACTGCTGTCTGCCACACTGATGCCTATACCCTGAGTGGAGCTGATTCTGAGGGATGGTTTTCCAGTGATCTTGGGACATGAAAGTGCTAGAATTGTGGAAAGTGTTGGCCAAAGAGTGACTAAGCTAAAGGCAGGTGAGCAAAGCATTTGAACCACTTACCTCATGATTTTTGTTCATTTCTATAGAGAAATTACTTTTCTGATACACTGCATAGATGATTATGTATGAATAGTTATCACCAAGGAAAATCATCAAGATTGATGTCTTCATCTTGGAAGCACGATACTGGGATTTATTCCCCTCTCATTCTGCAGGCTTGCTGTGTATTTGAAATTGTTTTAAGTACACTTCCAAAGCCAATCTTGGCAATTTAAAAAAAAAATGATTTTTAGGTACAGTAGTGAATCATTTTATTTACATAAAAACCTTTGAAGCATACTTTTCTTTTGGGTGGGGGGAGGGTGTCATTCTTTGGGCTTGAACTCTAGGCCTGGGCCTGTCCCTCAGATCTCTGCCTCCTGAATAACTAGGATTACAGGTGTGAGCCACCGGTGCCCTGCTTTGAAGCAGACTTTTTTTGCATAGTCAGTCAGAATGCTATTCTATAAGTAGTTTCAGATCTTGATGTGAATGTGTGGAACTGCATCAGCAGACAGGAATGAATGAGTGAGGCTGCTGTATTGATAGAGTCACATTTCCTGCCTCAGGATAATATCTGTGTGTTTGCTTTCCAGGTGATACGGTCATCCCACTTTACATCCCACAGTGTGGAGAGTACAAATTCTGTCTAAATGCTAAAACAAACCTATGACAGAAGATCAGGTTGGTGTCCTTTTATTATGCTTTTCTTTGTTTTTTAATTTTTTTTTGAGACAGGATATTCCCACCTTACTTAGATTGTCTTGCTACTTACCTATTTTTTTTTAATTAATTACTTTTACTGTTATTGTAAAGGTGATGTACAGAAGGGATTACATTACATTAGTGAGGTAATGAATGTATTTCCTTTTGCACAGCGTCTTCTGTTCATATCCAGCTATTCTTAAAACAAGAGGATATATTTGTAGTATTTATGTGTTCACTTTTACATGAATTACTTCATCCCATCTTTCAAGTTACCTGTCACCATCATTCATTTTCCTGTTTTCCAGTATGACAATGTCAAGAGTCAGAAGTTAAATTGTTCAGTGTCACAGCCATTAAGTTACAAATCAGAATTTTCTGAACCTATTCTCTTTTTATAAGGAAGGGGATGTTTCGAGATTAAGTGTAATCGTTTTATGGGCCATTTTGTTGTCCATGTAATCAAAGTAATAGAGTAATAAAAGTTACCTCGAGGTTACTGGGAAGCTTATGAGAGAGAACATAACCTTTTGATCTAGAAAAGGTAGTTTACCTTATTGTTAGCTGATACCATATTCAGGACTGCTGATGGGAGTAATTGGAGGCAGTTTTTTGTGGGGGTTTTTTGTGGATTTTCTCTTTGTCTATGTATTCACACATAACAACAAAGGATTTATTTGAGTGTACAAGTTACAGAGTTTTATTTTGTTTAAATGATTACTGGGATAGGGTGGAGTGCTTGCCTAGCATGCATGAGGCCCTGGGTTCAATTCTTCAGTACCACATAAGCAAAAAACAATAATAAAATTATTACAGGGTGCACTAGCTCATGCTTGTAATCTTAGCTCCTAGGGAAGCATAGATCAGGAGGATTATGGTTAAAGGCCAGCCTGGGCAAAAAATTAGTAAGACCTCATCTCATTTTGTAAGCCAGCTGTCCTGTAATCCTAGCTTCTCAGGAGTCTGAGATGTGAGGATCTCAGTTCAAAGCCAGCCTGGGCAGGAAAGTCTGTGAGTCTTTTATCTCTAATAAACCACTCAGAAAACCAGAAGTGGCCCTGTGGCTCAAGTGGTAGAATGCTTGCTTTGAGCTGAAGAGCTGAGAGATAGCGCCCAGGCCCAGAGATCAAGCCCCATGACCAACAAAAAAAAAACAAAAAACAAAAAACTGAAGATACCTGTCCCACTTAAGAAACTGCTATGCAAACCAGATTTTTTTAGACTACTTGAAAACAAATGATATAAATATGTTAAAATAAAGCTTTCATTGTTATCTGTTCAAGTTCTGGTATAGATGAATAGGCATTTGAATTATAGAATTATAATTTAATTATCACCCACAAAAGAGTAACACAGATATGAAATTATCTGCGTTCCATCAGAAAGAAACACAAGTGTTGATATTGGAAGAATATAATGTTTGTCTTCATGCAGCCATTTTTTGTATGTGTGTGTGTGTGTGTGTGTGTTTAGTATTGGGCTTCACTCAGGGCCTCCTCCCCTTACTTTTTGCTCAAGGCTTATCCTCTTCCACTTGAGCCTTTCCTCCACTTCCTACAATTATTAAATAAAGCGGAGCTGTAAAAACACTCCATTTTTTCAGCAAACCAGTGAGTGGCTGTCTGAGCAGATGTGGCACAGGGAAGAGGGCCCTGTCACTACTCAGGGAACTTTCTCCCCTTATTGTATCTGCTTCATATTGCTGAAATCAGATCCCACAGTTACTAGTTTCCTGCTGTATTTTATCCCAGAGACTTTTTCTGGTGTCTAGAAGGGAAGGGGCAGAAATGAAAATGGAGACAAGACATGCATGAAAATGTTACCATGCAATCCCTTCTCCCCATATAACTGATATAAGTCGATAGAAATGATTTTAATTGAAGAGTGGGGAAAAAAAGTAGAGACAAGATATGGGGGGTGGATAATTCTCTCTTATAATCATGTTGTAATTATTCTACAGTCTGCATCTGACCAACAAATGGCTGCTTCAATATTGAGGGCTTTTGTGCTTCAGCTTCCACTGCGTCCTCGTGTTCTGATCCCAGCTGCTGAGGGTGGGGCACAAGCCTCCTGAGCTCCCCTGAGCTTCTTCACCTCCCAGAAGACTCCACTGCTATCAGTGAGGTCAACGTTGGAAGGAGGATACTGTGGAATCTTCAGAAGGAAAACTATTATGAAACTAACTCTTTGGGGCACAATATTTACTGATGAAATGAGTTTTGTATCAATGGTAATAATCACACTTTAAATTTGTTTTATCTTAGGCTTCAACTTGTATTTATCTTAGCCATATGCATTGTGTGAAATGCTTCCCTTCCATCTTGCTTCAGAAGTACTTTTACCAATATTCTGAGGGGGAAGATGGGGAAGATGGGTGAGAAGAGGGATGACTAAGTCTGAGCCTGACATGCATTGAATTAAATTCTCCTAGTTGGTGTTGTAGAGTTTTTGATTATTAATCCTGCTTCAAAAAGAACTTTTCGACAGTCACTTTTACATTCCTTCTACAAATAGAACTGCATCTTTTCTATTTATCTTAACATGCTAGATAGAGTTACAAACTTGGAGCTGAGCTTGGACTTGAGCCATTCCCTTTCTCTGTCCAATCTATTTAAGTTTAAATAGATGAAGAATTTGGCGTAGAGGGTTAGAGGTTTGCATAATTATTAAACAATTCTGGTAAGAGGTGTATTCTGGTGGATCATTCTCCCAGACAGGAGCTCATGTCTGTGCCTGGAAAATGTCCTGAAGCATTTATTTTGCTTCTTCCCATGGCATGCCATGCTTACATTATGAAATCATACCTGGGAGCAAAAAGAATAAAGATAAACAGAATCTCAAACAAATGAAGAATCTCTTAAATATCCATGTAGTAGTGCCAGAATGAGAACAAAGAGAAAAGAGAGTAGAAAATGCTTAAAGAAGAAATAGATATAAATGGCCATATTGTTTATCTTTATAAACATGAATCTACATATCCTGGAAACCAAACAAATTCAAGGAGAGGATAAACACAAAGAGCTCTACAAATAAGCCACAGTTAAAAAAGCCTAAGGGAAAAAAATTTTAAGCAGCAAGACAAATGTGATTCCTCAATTATGCAACGTCTCTATAAGCTTAACTGGCTTCACATCAGAAACAATGGAGACAGTGCATAACAGATAGTGGCGTAATATATTCAAAGAATTCAAAGGAAAACAATGCCAATTAGAATACTATATTCAGTTTAACCATCTACCACAGATGAAGTAAAAGACACTTCAACATTTTAAAAAATGACTGGGACAAGCAGAAAAGGTCAAAAATTATATACATATGACTAAGATGATGCTAAGTGAAATGAACCCCAAGATAGGGACATAAGAGGTTTTATCTTCATTGCTGTTGTTTCTAATGTACTTGTAATGTGCCATGCGATTTTTTGGTTTCTTTTGTATGTTCTTCCCCTAATGTATAACCCCTGTTTTCACAGTATTTGATTCTGGTGTCCTGCATCTTGTATATACATTTTTCTAATTTGGGGAGGGGAAGAGATATAAGAAAATGCTAAAATAAGGATACAGGCTGACCCATTGTAACAATTAGATGAACAAACACCATGTTGAAAATGAACTTTATAACTTGGCCAGGTTGGGGAAGGGAAGGAGTTGGGGGGAAGTGTGGGGAGAGGGGAGGGAAAAGATGTTAGGGAAAAACAAAAGAGGAGGTAACAGTGCTCAATAGTAAATGCACACATTACCTTATTCATGTAACTAACCCCTCTGTACACTATCTTTACAATAAAAATATATTTTTTGAAAAAGAAAATACAAAAAAAGAAAAATGTTAGTAGAATTTATCAGAAGTCCAGCCTACATGAAGAAAAGTTCCTAAATTCTTCCTAGACAGAAGGAACACCTTAAAAATCATTCTAGCTGGCGCCAGTGGCTCACACCTATAATCCTACCTACTCAGGAGGTTGAGATCTAAGGATCACAGTTCAAAGCCAACCCAGGCAGAAAAATCCATAAGACTCTTATCTCCAATTAACCACCAGAAAACCGAAAGTGGTACTGTGGCTCAAGTGGTATAGCACTCACCTTGAGCTGAATAGCTGAAAGACAGCATCCAAGTCCAGAGTACAAGCCCCATAACCAAAAAAAAAAATATATATATGAGGTTAGTACCACTCTAATATAAAAAAGATAGTATAATAAAAGAAATATAGAACTTGTATCCCTGATTTTAAAAAAAAAACAGATGCAGAAATCTTCAATGAGAGATCAGCAAACTAAATAAACATTAAAAAGCATCTCATACCCTAAACATACAGGATTTATTTTGGATATGCAAGGATCATCATGGGTTAAGTATAGTAAATGGTTACCAAATATTCATACATTGGAAGACTTGATCACCAGTTGGAGATGCTATTAGAAAGTGGTGGAAACTTCAGGAAGATGCCCTGATGGCTTTACACCTCACTCTTCACAGGCTCAAAAGTATAAAACTAAATTATTTTGAAAGATTTTGCTCGGAGAAGAGATTCAAGTCACCCAGGATTCCCTAGGGAAGTACTTCCCCAGAATTTGTTTCTGCAGAAAATATTTCCCTATGTGCATCCATCCAGGCATTTAGAGGACTCTGTAACCATGACATGAAGAGGCCCAGCTATTTTTGCAGGTTGCATACCTTGGCAATGTGTTACTAGTTTTGCATGCATGCAGAATGCAAGAATTACAGAGTAAAAGAGGAAACTGGCATTTCAAAGGAAAGTGCGAGGCCAGACTGTAAGGTAGATTTTGAGACCTTACTATAAGTTCCTGAGAGGACAATACATGAAGCTGTAAGAACAAAGCCCAAGCTGTATGAGCACCCCAAGAAGTTGGAGAGACCAGGAACCTACCTACTAAAGAAAGCTACAGATACCCAGCCACTAGTGGCTCATGCCTGTAATCCTACTCAGGAGGCTGACATCTGAGGATCTTGGTTCAAAGCCAGCCCAGGCAGGAAAGTCTGTGAGACTCATCCCCAATAAACCAACAGAATACTGGAAATCACACTGTGGTGGAAGGGAAGGGAGGGGAGGGAGCTACAGAGAACAGATTCATAATTAGAAATAGACATGGGATTCTGCCAGCAAGGCTAGGGGTAGGAATGTTCAAGTTCATTAGACCTCACATCATGTTCTCTGGTAGGCAGAACAGTATGACTTTGAAAGAATTCTCACTAAATTACTCCATAACAAGAGGCAGCCAGATAATTGTTATTTACAAGCCAGAAAATTTAAGTGAGATAAGACTGGATACATTACCCAATGAAACTGAACTTTGTACTTTCAGTGAAATCTTGCAGTTTGGATCTGAAATAAATTACCAAACGAAGTATTTACAAATCCTGGTAATACAGGCTCATTTCAAAAAATGAAGAAAAACATTGGCTGTTTTTCTGCCTGAACATGATTAATAGAAGAAAACTGAACTTTTGTGAGGAAATTATTTCAGAATGCCAAGGTTGCTTTCTTTAGGGTCTTGCAGAAATAGCGTATTGTTGGATTGCTTGGTTCTGTCTTCTAGTCAACTATATGGAAACCAAAGAACATGCACTTCCAACTTGAGCCCTTTTCCCAGCATGCAAAATGTTTTCATTTTTCACTGTACACGAACTCTCTGATCAGAAAAAAAGATACTTCAAGACCTTTCTTTGTCTTGCTCTGAGAAGTAGCTTTTGACAATAACAAATGGGATGATGTCTATCACTTTGTTGATATACCATAGTTTACAAACACCTAGCTGTTTCCTTTAATAGCCAACAGAATTCAACCAGGTGCCAATAGCTCATGCTTGCAATTCTAGCTACTAAGGAAGCTAAGATCTGAGGTTCACAGTTCAAAGCCAGTATGGGAATGGAAATCCATGAATTTTTTTTTTTTTTTTGGGTCCGGTCACGGGGCCTGAACTCTGGGCCTGGGCACTGTCCCTCAGCTCTTCAGCTCAAGGCTAGCACTCTACCTCTTGAGCCACTTCCGGCTTTTTTCTTTTTGCTTATGTGGTGATGAGGAATCGAACCCAGGGCCTCAGGCATGCAAGGCAAGCACTCTACCACTGAGCCACCTTCCCAGCCCCATGAAATTTTTATTTCTAAGTGGAACTGTGGCTCAAGTGGTAGAGCACTAGGCCTTGAGCAGACAGTCTCCAAGTCCTAAGTTCAAACCCCAAGACTTGCACAGAAAGAAAGAAAAAGAAAGAAAGAAAGAAAGAAAGAAAGACAGAAAGAAAGAAAGAAAGAAAGAAAGAAAGAAAGAAAGAAAGAAAGAAAGAAAGAAAGAAAGAAAGAAAGAAAGAAAGAAAGAAAGGAAGGAAGGAAGGAAGGAAGGAAGGAAGGAAGGAGAGAAAAAGAAGAAAGAAAGGAAGGAAGGGAGGGAGGGAGGGAGGGAGGGAGGGAGGGAAAGAGAAAGCTGTTGGTGGGAGTGTAAACTTGTTCAACCAATTTGGAAAGTAGTATGGAAGTTCCTCAAAAGATTCCACATAGAGCTCCCCTATGACCCAGCAATCCCACTTTTGGGCATTTACCCAAATGATCACAAACAAGGCCACACAAAAGCTACCAGCACGACTATGTTTATTGCAGCATTATTTACCAGAGCTAAGATATGGAACCAACCCAGATGCCCCTCAGTAGATGAATGGATCAAGAAAATGTGGTATATATTCACAATGGAATTCTATGCCTCCATCAGAAAGAATGACATTGCCCCATTTGTTAGGAAATGGAAAGACTTGGAAAAAATTATATTAAGTGAAGTAAGCCAGGCCCAAAGAAACATAGGTCCCATGGTTTCCCTTATTTGCAATAATAGTATATGTCTGAGTCAAGTAGAAAAGGTCAGATAAGTTGATGTTAGGGAAATGAACCCTAAGATATGTATTCAATTTTTTTTTTCTTTCAGGTGATTGTTTCTAACACATTTATAAGATTACTTCTCTGTTGCTTTGTATGTCCCTCCCCCACTTTCACTGTATTTGATGTTGGTATAATTTGTGGAGGGGAAGGGAAAAAACAAATCGTTTAAATAGGGATACAGGTGGACCCATTGCAACAATGAGATGTACAAGTCGTTATGTCGAAAATGAACTTTACAATTTTGGTGTGGGGGAGGAGAATTGGGTGGGGGAGGGGGCAGGAGGAAGATGGGAAGGGATGGGAAGGGGAAACAAAGGAGGAGGCCACAATGCTTGGTAAGAAATGTACTCATGATCTTGCCCATGTAATTGTAACCCCTCTGTACAGTATTTTCACAATTTAAAAAAAAAAAGGGAAAGAGAAAGGAAGGAAGAAAAAAAGAAAAAGAATAAAAGGAGGGAAGGATGAATCTTTACAAAGTTTATCTGTGTCAGCAACAGTTCTTACAAAAGTTGTTATTACCATTCCTATTGTTATTTTCATTGTGTTTTTATTTGTTG